CTAAAAGAAAATAAGATAAAAGTTAAAAATAATAACATATGCACGTATGAAGTGCTCATTTGAGGGGAAGGAGTAATACCCTTAAACATGCATGAAGGCTCTATGGTAATGTCGCTCCCCATCCCCAAATGCTAAGCGCGATACAAATAAATAAATAAACAAAAGTAAATAGATAAACCATTTATCACATACACAAAAAACGAGGAACGAATACTAGTGTGAAATGTAAAACATTCTGAAAAAAAGAAAAATGCAACCTAAAACATTCAAATATGATAAATGAAAGGGTTAGAAAGATAAAAAACAACTATGCCAAGTGCTTGGACTCTCTAGCGTTCCCAGTAGATTCGCCAAGTAGTCGCGCCCTATTTTTCACGATGGAAAAAAAATATTTTTACCATAGATGCGGTTTTATTTAAAATAAGTGAAAAGAAAATGTGAAAAGGGATCTAAAATGAGACTTTAAAAAATGCGACACTTTGGGTCCAAAAATTTAGTCAAAAGGATTTTAAAGAAAATAGAAGTCGCCACTTGGTATTGAGTTTGAGTGTACCAAGTCACCCCAAAAAATATTTTTTAACAAAAATAAAATAAAATAAAACTCCTTTCGACAACTACAGGTCTTTGAAAAACAAAAGAAAATAGGTTCGGAAGTCACGGTCGAAAAAAGGGAAGGCAAAGATTTGATTAACTCAAACTTAAGGCATCCTTTCAACTTAGTCTAAGTTAGTTGCGAGATTTAGTCAAAATTTTCCTAATCTAGCTCTTAATTCTATCACATTTGGATGTTTTCTACATGAATGCAAATCTAAATTTATAAAATATCGAAAGGGACAAAATATCCATTTAAGGGTTTAATTGATACCAATCGCATTGATTGCGAAGACAAAATAATTTCTTGAAGGGGTCACGAGCATGCATAAATTGAATTCAAAGAAAAGAAAAGAAACTTAAATTATATATCTAGATATAAGTGCGCAAAGAATAGAAAAACAACATAATAGATACGGGAGACAAAAACTCGTGACCTAATTTTCTTATACAGGGATTAATGGGTATTTAAACTAAAAAATTATAATCACCCATTTCCCATGTTCAAAGAATAATTCTCCTAACATGAGCAAGCAAATGAATTAGCTGAAATGAGATACAATTCTAAATTATATGATTAACACATATAGAGGGTAGGGGATAATATAATAGGAAATATCATGCAAATGAGAAAAATTCTAAAAATAAAAATATACATGAAAATGTAATGGATATCATACAAAAGATGAATCTAATGCATGAACCATATACGGGTCTCGCGTTGGACTAGCCCATTTCTAAAAAAATCTTTACTAGCATTGGACTAGCAAGTAAATAGAGGGAGAAACCACAACTAGCATTGGACTAGTGTGGTGACGTCATGCATTCTTAACACATAATATGATAAATAAGGCATAAATTAAAATAAACAAACACATAAGAGCACGTAGCACGTAACACATGATATCTAAATGCAAAGACCCTAAGAAAACGAGTAAACACGTAAACATACAAGTATGCAAACACACAAAGCAAATAAGAGCAGATAGAGACCTAACTATTACAATTTGGCATTCAATTGCCTTTTAAATAATCATCAAAAAATAAATTTGTAGAACTTAAAATATAACAAGTAAATAAATAAATAAATAAATAAAACACTTAAGCCATGCAATTACAAATAAAACATGTAGGATCACAGAAAAAATTTTAAATTATGAAAGAAAATACCTCCCATTGAAGTAGTAGCTACTTGAGTTTGGATTTGCCCTATTTAACTCCAAAATTAACCAAAATCATTAAGGCACCCATTTAATCAACAAATAAATCATTAAAAATGGAAATAAACATGAAATCAATCAACTGAAACATTCAAATGGAATATAATTCATAATTAAAAAGGAAAAGCAACTTCTATTTAAGTAATCAAATCTATTAGGGACCTAATTACAAAAATTAACAAAGTTTTAGGGATCAAATTGAATTATCACAAAGACCCAAGGTCAAAATTAAAGAAAAATAAAGTTTAGGGACCTATTTACAATTAAATTAGGGACTTAATTGAAGAAACCTAAAGTATTTAGGACCACAATAAAATTATTCAAAAATCAAGGGACTGAAATATAATTTCGTAACCAGATTCTTAGCCAAATCGGCCATTAGGCCACTCTTATTTATCATTTGGGCCAAAGGCCATAAGGTCCACACAAAAGTCTAAGGAAAAATACACAGGCTAGCCCGTAGTTGTATCCAAAACACCAGCCCAATGACAAATGCATGGGCTCTAGCCTCCTATCCCAAGCCGAAAATCCCAATAAAATAAACTAAAACCCATTTCTAAAACCCAAACAAAATAGCCCAGATTTTTATATAAAACCCACCTAACAAACCTCAACCAAAACCTCCAACTATTTTACCAAACCCAATCAAAATAATAAATCTATCAAAATTATTAAATCTTAAATTTCATCCTAAAATTCATAAATAATTTGTAAAAAAAATCATATTAAAAAATGCCAAAGAAAATTTAAATTTAAAGGGGCAGAATTGATTATTTGCAGAAGTTTTTGATCCACAGTGAAATTAGGTAAAAATTGGGGGATCAAAAATGAAATTTTCAGAAAATTCATGCATCCTGCCCAAAGCTTTCTTCTGCAGTTTCTGGGTTTGCTTGTCCGGCCAACTGAAGCTCCGACAGCCACGGCGGCGCCGACGCCTGTCACCGGAAATTTCTCTGGTTGCCAAAAATTACCAAAATACACATCCCCATTCGATTTTTGAAGTAGATTCTATTTTTTAAGTTAATTTTTACAAAAAAATGACCCGAAAGTGGCCAAAAGAGCAAAAGCCAGTCCAGTTTTTTTTTAACATTCAAATCTTCATCAAAAATCACAAAACTTTATACTACCACACTCCTTGCAACTTCTACAATACCACTATATTTTTAAAATAAAGCAAAACAGCCCCTAAAATTTATTTTTTTTTCATTTTGGCATTTTTTCAAACAGTTAGCATACATATATAAAAATTATTTCCTTTTCCCTAATCTAATTCAAATCATTTTCCAAATTTTTAACAATACAACAATAACAATAAAAGACCACAAAAGCCAGAAAATTAAACGATAAAATATGGCTTTAACATGGTTAACAAAAAAATGAAAAAAATACCTCAATCTAAGCAAGAGTTTCACGGTCAAAATTTTGAAGGGACTCCCAGGCTTCATTCCTTCGTTGCTTGCTTTGTTGTATTTAAATTGTGTGTAGATGTGTTGTGTGAATTGAGAAAATGGAGGGATAGAGCCGAAAGGATCAGAGAAATTTTTTTCTCCTTCTTCCTCTCTGTTTTTTTATTTCGGCAGCCTAAGCTGAGAGAAGAAGAGAGTGAGGGTCTCTCTGCAAAATTTTCTTCTACTCCATTGAGCCAGCCGAGAGAGGGAGAGAGTAAGAGAGTTTTTTTGTTGCTTTCTTCTAATTTTTTTTCTTCTCTTGGATCTGTTGCTTCTTCTTTTCTTTCTCTGGTCAAAAGGATTGATGGCCATCATGAGTCATCATGAAGGCTCATGATGACTTTCTTTGTCTAGAGTTTCAAAGCAACTCAAGACAAAGACGTAGACACTAAATTACTTACCTATCTCTTCTAACTGCACCTGAGTTAAAATAAACAAGCCAACACTTGGCTGAAATTATTGGGCAAAATGATGCAATAACGTTGCAAAACATGTGACCGAACACTTGTAGAGTTGCATACGTATCCTGCCATGAGAATCAGGTCAAACGTAGTTCAAATACAAGTGAACCACAATAAAACAAGTGCATTGACCATCTATGATCTTTGCAAAATCGAAAAAGTTTGAGCTCTCAGAACTTCTAAACATGAAACACAAAATGAATGATAAAGAACAATTATTCATCAAAATAGTCAAGAAAAGTGGGTTGTTATGATTTAGAAAACGATGCGCGGCGGGACTTGGTTCTCTGGTCAATAGGAAATTAAATTTGTCAAGAAGGGAGGTAGAAAGGTGCACGGCAGACGTTGAGATTCATCAACAGGAAATTAAATTTGATTTGTCAGGAAATAACAGATTGGTGGGATAAGACCCGAGCCCAATGCAAATAAAAATGATCGGTGGGATAAAATTCAAGGCCGCCGTAGTTGGTGGAATCAAATCCAAGTCCAACAAGGTAAAAAGGGTCAGTGGAATAAAACCCAAACCTGTCGAAGTTGGTGGACACGTTAGTGGGATGAATCCGATGCTAACAGTGATAAAAAAAAACATGTTAGTGAGATAAACTCGATCCTAACGGTGATAGAAAAAACACACGTTGGTGAGATAAAGTCGATGCTAACAATGATAGAAAAAACACACGTTAGTGAGATAAGCTCGATGCTAACGGTAAAAGAAGAAACACACGTTAGTGAGATAAATTTCATCCTAACTGCGATAAAAAAAACACGTTAGTGAGATAAACTCGATGCTAACTGTAATAGAAAAAATACGTTAGTGAGATAAATTCGATACTAACGGTAATAGAAAAACACAACACACGACCGGGACGTGCCATCCGGAAACCGGGACGAGGGTAAGAAAGTTTTTAATGCCACCCCGCCCAATTGCGTCCAGTCACATGACCGACAACTCCCCCTCTCTTGGCACTCTCTGGCTTGCTCTAGTATAGACTGGTGTCCCGATTCGTCTCAAGATAGATTTCGCTGATATTATAAAGAGAGGCAAAATGTACAGTAAAGACCCAAAGATACATATCCCCAACCAAAAAATAATAATAATAAAAGAAGTACAGAGATAGAGTTGCTGGTAGCGGAAGAGAGAGGGGAATGGGGAAAAAGCCAAGGCCAAAGCCAAGCCCAAAGATGACGTCTATGCGAATGGGACTTCTAATCCTCATTTGGAGAGCGTGGAGGACAAGCAGACAAGTCCTAGCAGGTTACCATCAAAGAAGAAGGCATCAATGAGCAGCTTACCCTCAAAGAAGAAATTGTCAAAGAAAGCATCACCAAGCAGCTTACCTTTAAAGAAGAATTCATCTAAGAAGGCATTATTAAATATGGCTAGAACTGTTAGGAGGTCAGGACGGCTTAGGAATTTACGATCAGCTAAGCCAAACCAAGAGATGTTTGTGGAAAAGATTGATCTTGCTGGTAGCGAGAGTGAAGAGGAGTCACTTGATCAACAATCAAACTTAGAGCCTTTTCTTCATCAAGAAAACTCAGAGCCTATTGTTCAACAATTGAATGCAGAGCGTATTGTTCAAGAAGTGAACACAGAGGCTGTTGTTCAAGAAGCATACTCAGAGCCACTTGCTCAACCTTTTAACTCAGAACTAATCTCTAATCAACACAACTTGGAAGAAAAAATTGACTTTCTTGTTCAGCTGTTGAAGAATTCAAGTCTCAGGTTGTTCAGGGTCAAAAAAGGCCATTTCCAAGTGAAACTCAGCGTATGGAACTTAATTATAAAAGTCTGTATGTTGAGTCACAAAAAAAGGTTGAGGCCTTAACTGAGGAAAATCATCAACTCTCCAAAAAGTTGGAATTCCCCAGTGGAGTCGTCAAGTTGGAGCAAACTTTCCTTTAACCTCCTCTTGAATCGGAAGAATTCGCTTCGAAACCTTATCCCATACATCAAATAAGCGACATTTGTCTTTCTTGTCATAACCAATAAACCATCATTTGTTGATAGCATTGTTCATGAAAAATAACATTCAACCTCTTTTCCATCCATTGGAGACAGCAATTCATTGTGCTTCATGATCCATTTGATTTCTTCTACCTGAGCGTTCGTCAAAATGCGCAAGAACGGAATCTCAATTTTGGCAGGTATTACCACTTCCATTCGAAGCATAAGGTGTTGCCCCAACTTAGAAATGTAATCTCCAAGTGAAATGCTCCCCAAAGTTCAATAGCAAAAATTTGCAAAATTGAAGGGAAAATTCTCTCTCTTTTTTTCACTCCCCTTTTTCTTTTTCTTTTTTTTTTTTTCAAGTTGGTTGCTGAAGTATGTACTCCTTCTGAATAAATAGCCGATCATTTACTTTGCAATGTAGTATTATTGCCCCTTTTTTATTCGTGATTACCCTCCAAATTTGCAAGATTTTGACTTGCGTCTTTTTCTCGATCTTAACCATAAACTCCTGCACAAGGGGGATTTTTCAAAACACTTGAATTTTTCAAAATTCTTTTTTTTTGTTTTGTTTTGTTTTTCCTTTTTCTTTTTTTTTTGAGTAATGATATAACAATTAAGGTTCATGCGAAGTGTTGACTTACCAAAATTTGAAAAATATATACTTGACCTTAGACATATCCTATAAATGTATTATAAAATTGTCTCAATTTGAACTTATTTGGTGAAATCTCACAAATTTATTACAAAAAATTTGCCTTAATTTGGGCTTATTTTAGTTGCAAAATAATCACTTGCAATGTGAATAGAAACTATATTTTTCAAATGCAGAATTTAAATGTCATATCCAAACTCATATAGAAGATTCCATGATAACTCTCTCAAAATAAGACAAAATTGCAAAAGATCTCTTTCTCATTTTGGGATTGTGTTTAGAGAAAGTGGTCACTTTTCTTATTAGCTCATCCTTTAGGATTGAACAAACAAGTATTATTTCTAATTTTGAGGTGGCTCTGCGAGATGGTATGTCAGGATTTGTCTTCTTTTTTTTTTTGTGCCCAAATTTTGTCTAACCCATTCAATATCACATCTTGATGAAAGTAAATAGTTTATCACTCTTATTTCTTTAGAAAACTCAGTCAACATATAAGATCTATAGGCTTGTAATATATGGGTAGAAACGATAGTTAAACATATGAAAACAGGTTATGGTCTTATGATTATGAGTGATTGGTAGATTTCTTAGAAACATGATCCTTACTTGAAATTGTCATGAAAGATAAGTCAGCAATGGACTTTATGAGCTTGTAATGTGATTTGACAATCATAGCTAAAAGAAATAAAATTTTCAAGAACAATGCACTTAAGATCATATTTCTTCCCAAAAATTGCCCCAGTTTTGGACTTAACACTCGGGACCCCATTTTGACTCTCTTTTTTTTTTTATCAATCACGAGAGGGAATTCAGCATTAGATGTCTTTGCATTTTTCTTTTCATTTCATCATTTTTTTCATTTTTCTTTGCTTCTCTCTTTTTCTTTCTTTTTTTTTGACCAATACTGAGATTCCAAATGTCAATTATAGAATTGAAAACTCTCTAATTTTGGAGTGTAGACGGCGCCTCTTTCTTTTCGATATTGAAGACCAAATATCAATGATAGAGTCAAATTCCCCCAACTTGTAGTTTTTCTCTTTTCTTCTTTTTTTTTTTTAAAAAAAATCTCCTTCCTCAGTGTGGGGGTGCGATCATAAATGCTTTTGAAACGAATCACCAATTTAGGTTCAAATAAAGATGCAAAGGATAAAAGTGTTTAGATGGTAGAAACGATGACCAAAACATCATTCTTATTTCTCATGACAACCAAAGTAAATAATAGCCCGTTGGAAAAATCCATTTCCTTTTGACATTTGAAAATTTTTTCATGTAGGGTCATGATCATTGAGGCTTTTATTTGAAATGAAATTCTATTTTTTAAAGTCTCAAATGGAAAAACAAATGATAAAATCTGCATAGATAGAGAAACGAAAACTTAAAGTATCATTCAAAATTTTCAAAACAAATAAGAAGTAATGCACATTTTTGCTTTTACTTAGATGTGGATTGAATCTGATTAGACAAAGTGAGCATTTTCATTGTAAAGATTGCCTCACTTTAAAGCTCGTCAACCAATGTGACTGACTTTGTAGGTTCGATAGAAGTGGACAAATATATAAATTGCAAAAATAAGAGAGAGAAAAGTATCGGGGTTGATCTTTTATGACAAACTATCAAATTTTAGTGACCCCTTTTGTTTTTAACTACTCTCATTGAATAGTTTAGATCACAAATTTAGTGTATACAAAGATTTTTGGAAATTGGACAAACACTTGTGAATTTTCAAACAAAAGGTCGAAAAATCTCAATTTAGTCTTATTTCTTAAAATCAATCATGAAATCTCTCAATGAACAAACAAAGAATGAATATATGCAAAACAATAATTGTCTAAATACAAACTTATTATTCAAATATTTGAATTTTTTTACTCAAATATAATACATATGAGAAAATAAAAATCTCTAAAGAATACACTTTCAAATATATACACTTTCTCTTTCTATCTTTTTAGATAAAATGTATTGGAAACAATGAATCAAGAGATTTTCAAATGGATTTTTCATTCATTTTTTTATAGGATCTATCCAAGAATCAAGTAACGCTTGTAATTTTCAAAAATTTATCAGACCAAAAATATTATCAGATATAGTAAAAATATTTTTTACTCCATTGAAACATTTTTTCTAAATGCAGAGGAGGGGAAAAAATAAAAGAAAAATACCCAGAGTTAATAAGCAAAATTGTAAAATCAGGATGCATGTCCTATGGGAGAGTCCTTTTATGCCAAGAGTTGGCCTAGCATGAAAAATGTAATCTTCTGGGGTAAGCACCATACAATACCTGATAGATCCGATCGACTTATTGAGATTCGAATAAAAGGCAATTTTGAAAATTTTGGCTAATTGGAGTGACAAGAGACAATTTGTTCTAACAAAATGAGGAAAAAGTCCGAATGGATTGATTGCTTTGATTGACACATAAAGTGATATTAAAAATCAATTTAGTGTGAAAAACTTATTTTTGAAAGGATTGATATGTCTCGACTAGTTTTTTGGGTGAACTATAGATCGAAACTTTAAAAGAGAATAAACGAGTTAAATGGATCGAATGAATTGATGGTTAGTTCAAAAAATTGACTGGATTATTCAAAAAGTGAATAAAACTGATCAAATAAATTGAATGAAATTGATGATTTATTGAAAAAAATTGATTGGATTATCCTAAAAATGAATGATGAATTGGATGGAATTGACAGTTTATTTGAAAATTAACTTGATTGCCCTAGAAGTGAATAAACTAGTAAAATGAATTGGATGGAATTGACGATTTATTCAAAAATTGACTGGACTGACCTAAAGTGAATAAATCGGTCAAAATGGATTGGATGGAATTAACGGTTTATTCGAAAATCGACTGGATTACTCCCCTATTTGTAGTTTCAAAACTCACAATATTTGTTGCAATGCATTAGTCTATGAGCCTTCTAAAATCAAGATTTGATCTCGATATATTTATCATCTCAACATTGAGAAATTATTTGTGAATTTCTTCAATTCAATGTCCTTTATGCAAGGGATTTTACCACCTTTGACAAAATGACCAAAAAATGATTATTAAAGGCTCATATTCTAATGCGCGAAAACTGTTTCATCACTATTCTCAATGTCGTCATCGTGGAAGGGACCAGATCGTACCTTACCTTGTGCACTACCTCTTTGGATGGTACAAAAATATAAACGTGCAAGTCTCATTGGATTGTGTATCCGAGACAAAGGATAGTTTTTTCCTAACGTGGGATTCCCTATACGGCATTCCCTCTATGGTTAATGCATGATGACAATTTATTAAAGCGTATTAAATATACAATGAAATAATTGAAATATGACCTAAAAGTGCTCCATTTAAATGGCGGGGTAAGCTTAAAATGATGTGCTTATATATACATAGTATTAATGCGATAAACTGAAATTTAAATGTACTATTTACAAAAGGTGGTCTGCCCTAAGTGAGTACCATGCCAGGACTCTTGTTTCTAGGGCTTATGAATGCAATATAAGAAAATAAAACAATTGTTAGTTTAATAAACAACACATAACAGATTGGAGCAACAAAATAATACAGAAATATAAGATAAAAAAGAAAAAGAAAGGGGGTAAAATCCTTCCCCTCGTGTCTAGTGTTCTTAATAGGATAGATGAAGGTTCTATCTTTGGTGATTTCTATTTGGATGCATGAGATTCGGCTCACTAATGCATCTAGACTCGATAAAATTTCAGATTCCCAAGCCTTTAGACAAAAGGGCGAAGGGTCCTCAATTCCAAAGCTCTTAGTCGGTGGCTCGAGTGACCCCTTTGACATTGCTACGTGCATGTCGTGCCACGGTCACATGTCCAAGTGGATCGATCCTAATCCTAACAGGAATGAGTGGTGTGATAACCACTAAATGAAAATAAGATAAAAGGTTAAAAATAATAATGTATGCACGTATGAAGTGCTCATTTGAGGGGAGGGAGTAATACCCTTAAACATGCTTGAAGGTTCTATGGTAATGTCGTTCCCCATCCCCAAATGCTAAGCGCGATACAAATAAGTAAATAAACAAAAGTAAATAGATAAACCATTTATCACATACGCAAAAAACGAGGAACGAATACTAGTGTGAAATGTAAAACATTCTGAAAAAAGAAAAATGCAATCTAAAACATTCAAATATGATAAATGA